CTGGCGGGCAGAGCTGAGACCTCTAGGCTAGCTAGGCCGGCGTCTTGATCTGTCCACAAGTGCCCCCTCCCCTCTGGGCCTCAGTTTCAGTTTCATCACCTGTCCGACGGCAGTGAGGTGGGATAGCTTTTTCCAGCTCTGACTTGCTCTGTCTGAGGATCCGGGAGGCAGTGAGCTGAGCCGTTCTGTAGTATGATTGATTCGCCGGGTCTAGGAAGTCAGGGGAGGGGGTGGGGCCTGAACCCCCTAACTAGGCCAGCTCTCACGAGATTAACAGGATGCTCCCTCCCACTTCAAGGTCACCCAAAGACTGTTTCCAAGGTTTCAGAGGTCTAGGAATTTGCGGTTTGAAGATGCCATCGTCTATTCATTCAACACATATGTATAGCACACCTACTGTATGCCAGGTGGTGTTCCTGGTGCTTGAAGCAACAGCAAGGACCAAGCCAGAGAAATCTCTTGCCCTCATAGGGCTTCCGTTCTAGAGCGAGGAGCAGAGTAACAAAAACTAAATAAAACTATAGCGGAAAGGCCTAGGTCAGGGCAACTGCTTTAGGTAGGGCGTCAGAGAGGTGATGTGCAAGCTGAGGCCTGACTGCTGAAAAGGAACCAGCCACATGGGGAGGAGCATTGTAGACCGATGGAACAGCATGTGCCCAGCCCCCGCGGCAGGTGTGGCCTGGCATGCTTGAGTGATGGCAAGGAGCCTTGGTGACTGTGATTTGGTGAGCCGAGGAGAGAAAAGTCAGGGCCGAGGTCAGCGGTCCAGGCAGGGGCAGATCATACGAGGCCTCCGGAACCAGAGCAGGAGGTTTAGATACCGTTCTGAGTGCAAACGGAAACTACAGGTTTTAGCAAAGGAATGACGTGTCTGATTTATATTTTTAAAATAGTGATTTGGGAGGATTATAGGGATCAGTGAGGAGAGAGGCTGTGCAGTTGGGCAGGGCAGAGATAAGGAGGTGCTCACAGGGTGGAGGCAGAGGGATGAGGGTGGGGGGTTTACCCGGGACACGCCTGGAGGTAGAACCTTCGGCTCTCACGCTACCACACAGCGAAGCAGTGACCCAGAGGGCAGTTTCCCAGGTCTGCCGGGGTCTGGCTCTTAAGACGGGCTTTGGCCCTCATTACCTTGAAACTCTTAGAACTTTGCTGTCCAATACCATAGCCACACACTTGCTATTTAGATCTGAACCAATTTTAAATTACATTGAAAAGTCAGTCCGTTATTCAGTAGCCCCATTTCAAGTGCTCAGCAGCCACATGTGGCTAGTGACTACCAGATTGGGCAACACAGGGGACATTTCCATCATCACAGGAAGTTACAGACAACTGCACCTCCTCCCAGTACATACTGTCACTGAGCCTCCGTTTCCATCTGCATCTCTGAAATTCATATAATAGTATCTCCTTGGTAGGGTATCTGTAAGGACTGAATGAGATAACCCCTGTAAAGTGCTCAGTGCAGGCCGGCACATAAGAAATCTTCATTAAATACAGGTTGTTACTATTATTGCTGAGATGAGGGGTGGGTAAGGAATGGAAATAGAGGATATCTCTGAGGTTTGGTTCTAAACATTTAAGATCAGAACCCTGTTATCTTCCCCTGTCCAAAGGGGGAACAAGAACTGTGGGGCAAGGAGAAGCCGATGACCCCGACCCCAGCCACGGCGACCCCGGCCCGGCCTGCACGCCCTTCCCTCCCCACGCGACCCCAGGCTGCCTTGCAGCCCCCAACCCAGGCAGGAGCCT